AGACGTTGGTGTTCCCCGTGGTTGACTACTGTTCTCTAGTGTATAACAGTCTCTCTGCTGAGCTCTCGTTGAAGATCGAACGTCTGGTCAACATGGGGGTTAGGTACGTTTTTGGACTTAGAAGGGATGAGCACATTACTCCTTTCAGGGGGCGGCTGGGGTGGATGACGTGTGAGGCGCGTACTTCCTACGATCTACTTCCTTGCGTGTGTTACGTATAGGATTCTGAGGTCTGGAGAATCCAGCTACGTGGCTCCTTTTTTCTCTGTTAGATGTTCCACTCGCCCTATGAGGAGGGGGGTGTGTCCTCTTCTAGTTAAGTCATTCAGGACTGAGTCTCAGCGTCGTTCTTTCCAGGTTGCTGCAGCATATTTCTGGAACTCTATCCCCTCACAGACATGTGATCTTCCCTGCATCGACTCCTTCAAAAAAGTTCTTCGCGGCCATCTCAGAAGCTGATCACCTTTCGGCTTTGAGTCTCTCTCCTTTTCTTTTCTCTTCTTTCTTCTTTCTCTGCTGTCTTCTTTAAGAGTCCCTTTAATCTAGTATCTACGCTTATTAATCTATCTCTTCTTAAGCAGTAGCACGTTTGTGCCTTTCACTGCTTGGATGCGCTTTGTTTAATTTTTTTGTATCTATTTGTGCTATGTGGCCTTGGTGCCACAACTGTATTTGTACAACATAATGTACAGTGAATAAAACCTTAATCAATCAATCTGTAGTGCGTTTTTCCCAGGTCCGCTAATTGCTCCTCTTGGGGATGCGGTGCTATGATGGGGTTACGCGCCTGTGCTGCTCGGTATGAAGGTTTTAGAGAAAAGGCAGAGTCCAGGGATCTACTAGACTTCGCATGATGATTAATCTCCTCTTTATCCGTAGTCATGACTCTCGCTGGAGGCCTCGCTGGTCGACTCCCGTATACGTCTACACTCTACGGTGGCCCAACGTCTTCTTCTTCTTCTTCTAATTTTTTATGGCACTGATTATAAGCGTTGCAGCCGTTGTTCCCATGAAGGAACGTTACATGAGAGTGAGTTGGGGATGGTAAGGTAGGCACGTAGGTATAGCTGTGCAGTGGCGGGTGATGTTTGAAGTGAAGTTTAGATAGATTTTTGGATGAATTTTAAAAAGTGGATGAGATTCGAAGTTTTTTAGTACTTGGATCGAAGATTAATTTGTGGATGTTGAATGTTATTATTTGTAGTTTATTCAGAGCTTTGTGGAAAGGGGTGCTCGTTTGTGTATTTTGGGCAAAACCAGAATACGTGGGAGAAGGTTTCGGGCTGTTGCATTCGCAGAGAGGGGAGGCTGGCGTTGAAATTGAAATGATTTGAACTCATTCTTGAAATTTACATGATTCGAGGGCTGTCAATTTCCAGGGAGTGGGATGAGGGAGGGGGGCAAAAGCCTTTGTGCCGTTGCTTGAAATACTGGGTGCCTTTTCGACTTTGCGATCTGAGAATTTTGGAGGTTTTCGTCTTCATACTCCTTGCGCAGGGATCTTTGAGGTCGAAGTGAGGGATAGGGGCATTTTGAAGAATACTAGCTAACTCATTGTTCGGAATTCCCACATGGGAAGGGATAGGGTTCAGTGGAGTTCGAGTATTTTGTAGATTTTTTGCGATGTAGAGTGGAATAGGGTTGACAGGAGACTGTGAGTGTCAGACAGAATGACAGAGTATCCGAAATTAATGACTTGGATAGCTTGAAGCGAAGCTAGTATCGCGGGCTTCAGCTGTGAAGATCGACGGATAGGAGGAAATTTTGTGTTTGATGACCATTTCTTTGAGGGGATAATTAGTACCTAACCCACGTAGGATCCTTCTTGGGTTTTCGAGCCATCTGTGTAGAGTGGGGTATGGAGAATGAGATTAGCTTTGGATGGTTCTTCAGATAGGGCGGTGATTTGATAGTTTGCGTCTCTTAGTGGCCTACGGATGATATTATGAGAGAAGGGAGGGAGAATTGGTGAGAACGAACGAAAATTGATAGGGAGTTGCTAGAGTGTAGGAGTGTATTATGTGTAAAAATTGTTGAACTTTGACTAGGTGTCAGAGTCTCAATTTGTCCCTAAAAGTTATGCCAATTTTTGATATAATAGCTCGTTTATTCAAGTATGAAATAGTTGGACAATTTCATTTTTCCAATAATTATTGCTCTTGTAAATACAAATATTTCATACTGTTATCTCCAATAGAAAATAATCATTTGAAATGGGATAAATTGCAATTGACGTTCAATAGATGTTTAGCCAAAATGCTGATCACCTAACCTCATTCTGATTTTTTCTTCATATTATTATACTTCTATATCTGAGCTACATGTTAATGCAGAT